AATAGTTAGATTGACTTGATGGTTGCGTGAAAGTTTGAGGTTTTTTGAGATATACTATTTGAAGTAAATCAAGAGACATCTAAAGGATGTCTTAAGGAGGTTTACTTAAAATACTGTACTGCAGTAGGACACGAATCCAGGTATGCCAATGCAAATAGTGGATGAGTGTTAGCCCGAGTTAGACAATGAGTTCAATTAGCAAGGCCAAAGGAAATATGTTTCACGAAACTGGAAAAGACTATTTCCATCAGTACGTATATATATAGAGTATCTGGTAGTATTGATAGTAATGATAATTCTATTAGAATTATATTAACAACAGAGGCGCGAATTGAGTGCGAGAAAGAAGGGTTTGAATCAGGAAGAAATCGCGTGCGGACTAACCCATTTTATTGAAGAATCATTCTAAATCCTGGGCTCTCATCCCAGATTGTGACTTCTCAAAACAAGTCAGTTTCAGTCAGGTATCGGAACAGAACAAGCATTGAAGGGAGACTCCCGTAATTTAGCTTTCGTCTTGAGAATGAGACAGAATAAGCAACTTTTCATGTACGATTGCGAATGATTTTTTTGCATATCGGTTTACGGTCCTATTCCTCTGATGTTATAACGGAAATGAATGAAATTAGCGAATATACACTCATTCGCAAACTAATTTGGTTTTTTAAGATACTCACCTGGAACCCAACCGAATTTCTCAGCAACCTTATGAGTAGTGCATTACAAAAATATATGTGTCGTGATATCGCGATTATCGTGGCGACTGAAACATGAGGCGGCCTGGTGCAGCACATTCAGTTGCCTGAAATCATCAAAACTGAGAGATTCAGCTGGGTTCTGGGTGAGTCTATTGAAAACGCAAATTAGTTTGCAAATGTGTGTATATTCGCTAATTTCGTGCAAATGGGCTGTCGAGAAGTTTTCAGCAACCTTATGAGTAATACATTACAGAAATGAATGAAGTCAGTGTAAGTCACAATGTTTTGTGGCCTTGAGGTTGATTTGTATTTCATACGATTCAACAGTAGAGTAAATGATACAATTGTTCGTCATTAAAAGGACCTCGAAATACAGAGTTAATACATAGGATCATGAGCTTAGAAAGAAAAGTACCCAAAGGTTTCTTATAATTACGGTAAGTGGAGGTTCTAATGAGAGCATGATTTACTTGTAATGAGTTCATGTGGTGGATGTAGCTTCACTGAGTGACCAGTCAAGAGCTTAAAAAAAGTCGAGGAGGATTTGATGGGTGAAGCTGAAACAAACGTCAAAATGTTTGCATACTGAGAAACCGGCAAAAACATCCAGTGGACCTAGGAAGGTAATTTATTGGCCTATGTAGAGTTACCGGAAGAGGACAAACACTAAAAAAACACAACTATTATTAGGTCTGAGGGTAGCAAAGACTCTCGCGTTCTCGTAGCATAGAAATCTGCACACCAAGCTCTAAGAAGGGTTGCTTGAACACTGGGGACCACAGAGGGTCACTTGGTGTGGTCACACCCTGGAGTGAGGACCAAGACATTTAAAGTATCGGTGCTTAGTAGGTCATTGTGAAGCTGACTATAATTAGGAGAGATGGGTATTCACTTTTCGGAGAATGGAAGAGAGAGTGTTCACCTGACCTGCTAACAACTTCACCCGGTATGGTTAGCAGCTGCAGAGTTATTTGGTGCACGTGACAGCTGCGGGTAATCGATAAGTTACCGGTGATTAAATTAAGTAATGAAACGGCCCTCACGTAGAGGAAAAAGGGAGAAATAACCGTTTGATGGAGACCACTATGTGGATGAGGAAGGATCGCTGACAATCGTGGACTGTGGATGGTTCATGAAAGAGCCTTGAAACATCACCTAGGACAACAATACCGGTGTCTTCCCATTCGTTATGGAGTAAAGACTTCACAACCTGAGGGACGTCGATGCTAACTAGAATCTTCCTTCTATGTAGAAGCACTTTCTCTTGTGGGCTTTTTTCTAGAAAATCTGGAGTGAACACAAAATGATAAGAAAAACAAAAAAGTGTCCTGCTAGTTTCGTATGCAAAACGGTGGGAAACTCAGACAAAACTGTGCTGTATTTGGACCATCCAGACGAAAAGCTGTCACCCTATTGTACTGAAAGAGCCTTACTGCTGCATCACCGGCCGGAAGTTTGCTCTTCATGGTTTACCAGAAGTCTGACAAAGAGCAGCAAGGTTTCGGGATACGAGCAACTGTAGTCCCAGGTGGCCCATGAGTAAAGTCATACAGTTCGATCCAATGGGAGTACGAGGACTGTGCGATGACTTCCAGCATCTCCACACTGATGAGTGCAGCGAAGCTGCATTCAGCTGCACTCAGGGTTAGCTAACTTCGATCCTAAGGACCGCACACTCCGACAGCCATGCGGTCGACCGTGGCAGCTGACACATTATCTAATGAATTCAGAATACTTTTAAGAGCCAAGAGTCTAGTGTGGCCGATAATGCACCTGCTATGAGCAGCAACACCAGGAATCAAGCAGCAACTCTTCATTCTTTGCATCCTCAGAGTGGGCCAGGTTTTGATCACACAGAGTGACTCAAAGCGTCTACCGCCTATCAAACTTAAGGTGGGCTTTCGCTCTTGGCAATTTGATTACGAACTCGATCAGCGTTTAATCTGCTGCTCCCATTTCCCTATCCATACCATCTCAGCACAATCACTAGAAGGACTCACGCTTTCTAGCGCACTTGACTTGAATAATGTCTCAAATCTTCGAAAACGTGTCCACAAATTTGGCTGGACTTATCAATAATCATTTTCGTTTTCAGCTAACAGTAGCGTTCGAATAATAATGCAGGGTTAGATTTCAGTAACATGCTTTTCAACGGATATCACAAGTGCCTATTTGTATGTGCAACGAATATGCTGATAAGTCTATCCGTCCAAAGAACTTTGGATCCTGTTAAAAGAAGACGCAAAATCCACAGAAGTGCTGTAGAAAAAGCGATTATGTAAATCAACTCCACGATGCAGATAGAGATAAATTCCCTCTCTCCGATACCAATAATTACTACCCTAATCCAGCTGAAATGGTGTTCATCAGAGGAGGGCGGTACGCAAAAAATATGTTTTTAACTCATTTCAGAAGAGCCTAATAAGCAATCGGTGGTTTTATTTGGGTAACGTTTCGCTTTTGACACAAAAGCTTCATCAGCCAAGTGACCTAGGTCACCAAACTGTCCGGGTTATAAGACAGACGGGAAACCAATCGGTAAGTCCTCTTCAAATTATCACACTACAACAGTGTTTGGTGTCCGTTGGTGTGGTTGTCAAAATCTTGCGTTGGCGGATTGGGGGAGTTTCAAATTAGTTGTGATCGGTTTTGGTTTCCCAGTCTTCCAATTCAAGGTGCTTCAATTGACAATTCACTTCGGGCGCCACTGGTGGAATTCCTTGATCTTTGTGGGGTTGTGAGTGCTCCGACAAGTTAGTTTGAGGGGAGGTTGAGGTTAAGTGGAATTCAGATGATGACTACTCATCCTTCTGATTACCACATACCAACCCCTGTCAGCTCGACTGTTTAGGCCTGTAAGCGCTCCGTGCACAGAAGAAACTGATCGGACAGCGGCCCAAATTGAAGTAAAGAACATACATCGGGTTGTGGATATCCAGCTAGCTTGATTAGGTGTCGGTTTCGAAGAGTGTTCCTACCAGTAGCGAAATCCAACAGGGAATGGGTCTATACCGCTGTTATTCCATATAAACCAGGGACATCGGACGTTATTTGAAGAATTCTAGACACGGCCAACATGAGAGTAGCTTTCAAGAGGGGGAACACTGCGCTCTGCACTGGTGCAATTGAAGGATCACCCCTGGCAAACAGAACCAGGGACCGCCTATAAAATGGAGTGTAACGGCTGCATTAAAGTCCATACAGGACAGACGGCCAAGAAATTTCATACCGGAATTGGAGAGCATAGTAGAAAACTAAACAGGCCACCGAGAAACATGGATGAATCTCAAGCGTCACTAAAAACTCGGCAATTGCGGAACACGCACTGGACAGAGGACACAAAACATGTTCAGAAAATGCTGGGGTTTTGAAGCGAGGACTACTGTCCACGTCACAGAGACCGATATCCGAGTCGGTAGAAATCGCCAAGTATCCCAGTGTTAACAGAACAGAAGGCGTGGAACTGGCAAGCGTGTGGAGAGCGGTTTTGGATCAGTCGATCTGACAGGGGTTGGTGTGTGGTAATCAGAAGGATGAGTAGTCATCATCTGAATTCCACTTAACCTCAACCTCCCCTCAAACTAACTTGTCGGAGCACTCACAACCCCACAAAGATCAAGGAATTCCACCAGTGGCGCCCGAAGTGAATTGTCAATTGAAGCACCTTGAATTGGAAGACTGGGAAACCAAAACCGATCACAACTAATTTGAAACTCCCCCAATCCGCCAACGCAAGATTTTGACAACCACACCAACGGACACCAAACACTGTTGTAGTGTGATAATTTGAAGAGGACTTACCGATTGGTTTCCCGTCTGTCTTATAACCCGGACAGTTTGGTGACCTAGTCACTTGGCCTGATGAAGCTTTTGTGTCAAAAGCAAAACGTTGCCCAAAAAAATCTACCATTTGTGTATCAACCTCTTCTGAAACAATGACTTCTCAATCGGTTCCACACCTTTTCCAAATGTTTCACTTGTCTAAAAAGCTACCCGTATTATTAAAAATATGTCTTTATGACAGTGCTCTTTCAAAACCTCACTACGCCGGTCGTAGGTGATAACCCTTCACAGTAGACTACAAAAACAAGTAACTAGCAAAATACACTCTTGTTTTGACAGAAACTCGGGAACTGCGTCCCAATAAGGGCGGAACCGGGTGACGTCATGAGTAGTACATCACGTCTGTGGAAAACGAAAAAACTGAACAGACACCGCTGCTTTCATGTGTTTGTCTAAACGTAGCTTGCCAACCATTTATTCGTCTCTCTTAGAACTCGGTGAGCCCGGTAACCCACTTACATAATCCAGGAATGACTTTACGGTCGCTCAAACTTTTTGAAGATGACTTGTCTATCAGTTCCAAATATTTTCCATCAATAACCAACTCCTCTGTATCATGACAGGCAACTGAAAAACGTCAAAGTGATCTAACAATTGAGGTAATAAGTAAAAACAGTCGTTTTAAATAAGTTTGAAGAATCATAAGTGGCACAAACGCTCAAGGTACGCAGACCCTTTGCGGCCTTGTCTGTGGTGCACGTGACGTCCATGGGGCGCTTTCGAGTGGAACTGAATTGAGTGGAAAGGACTAATATCACTGTCTTATTTTTTAAAAAAAGATGCTTTTATGGACAGAGATAACCCTGGATACGATAAGAGAGACGTAACCCTTGTTGATTCAAGGAGAGCATTTAGCCTTTTGAGTCGCCCTGCATATACTACTGGCATGGAATATGAAAAACTGACAGAATGCACAGTTCAAATTACTTCATATATCTGAACTTATATCCACCAGCTAAAATGAAGGAGATTTATGAAGATTTATGAATCTACTGATTGCATATAATGCATATAGTATTACACGTACACAGTGAGTGGCTGTTTTGTCTACTGCGTTCACATATCTGAAGGGGTCATAAGGCATAGGTATGTGTTTATGCGTTTATTCGTCCGCCTTTTATGATCCATTGTACGCCTCATTGCTGGGCTCACACTGTAATGATGGTCGAAGAAAGCTTTAGGTTTGAACAACGAACAGAGTTGGATGCTGTTGGCGTCTGTGATCAAGGATCTGTGGTGCGAAACTCGAACGAGCAGTCTAAAACAAGGTAATTTATTCCAACAATCGTCCCAAGTGCCTCACGTTCTGTTGGTCCCATATAAACATGGTTAAACCCGGGTACAACAGAGTAGCGTGCTGTAACCGATCCGCACGACACCCATTGACTTCTTCAAGCTTTCAACCACCATGTGATGGCACTAGCGGGCCACTGTCGTCCGTGAACGTATAATATTCGCTTCAGTTATATCATAGTTAAATTTTATTCAGCATGTGGTATGTCACTTACATTTATGAGATGTGATGTGTCAGTGTAGCAAAAAGGCTCACTAAAGTGTAACCGCGGGCGGCATGCTTTAATGTCCTGTAGAATAGTTGACTATGGATTAACTATAGTGATTATGAATACATAAACGACGAACACTCCGCAATAGCACTTACTGGTTTCATCCGCGGGTCATCATCATTAGACCAAAAGTTACGATAGATGTGCTCATCATACCGACCTCTACCTGTCTGTGAATTTCGTTCGTAAGACAATTAGCTATGTCAATCGATCAAACATGATTCACCTTGCTAGGAACCATTCATTATGCATTAAACTATTGGGAGCTAGGAGTAACCATCTATAGTTAGACAACGCTGGATTGATCGCGCCTTTAGCACAATAAGTTTAGCTCGAAGGTTACACTGCTAGTTAGTTGTTATGGGATAACAATAACATTGTCCTGATATGCAACGCTTTAGAAGGCTGGTATCCATTTTTGGATTAACCTGAAGCATCGGGTCAATTAAATCCCAAGCATCATAGTTACCACGTACTTGTTTGTGCAAAGTAGTATGCAGAACTGCATGAACGCGCTTTAACCTGTTTACACTCGACGAAATGTGACCGAGGGCGAAAAAGGAGGGGGAGGGTCAACGAAACGCATTATCGAGAGACACTGATAACTAAAACGACTGAGGCGTAAAGTGCGTGAGGCTGTGCACCGCTGGGCCGCGCAACTCACCAACAATACCGAAGTGAAAGATTATGACGCTAATTATGCTGAAGTGTGACGCAGTGTGGTTGTGCAGACTATTCATTCCAGCGCCGCCAAATTCGTTGTATTCTGAAAATTGGATGTTAGACAGGCGTGGAACAGTGCTGTGTATATTCAAGACCTGATTTCAGAGGCCCTGTAGGTTAAGCCCTTTACTAATGAGTCTTGTTTGCCTATAATCTTGCGATGTTTCGCTCCTAACGATAGATAACAACGAAAACGCTGGACACAAGGTTATACGAGTAAACCTGCTGACCGGTGAGTAAGCACGACGTTTAATGGTTAATATTCACTTGATTCAACTAACCCCAGCAGTCCATGCGACTCTGTGGACAGTGAGAAAAGTTGAGGACCGTCCACATACCCAAAGTTTATGCGTGAAACATGTGGGTCTAGCCCCAACAATAGTGAGTGGGGCGAATGGGTGTACATATGAGAAACTTCGACACGCCGCGACAATGCGAAGTAAGCTTTCTATGGAAAATTGTAAACCCGGGCAGGGCGGGATAAAGCCTAATGGTTCGACACAAGATAGACCCAATTGTATACGAATCTGGATCAAGCACAACCTGAGTGCGGATACCAAGATGACGGTATTCCGAGCTGTCATTCTGTCCGTATGACATCAAAACCTATGCGATTTGCCGATGGCGCACTAGGATACTTGAGGATTTTCAGCAAAAATTCAACAGGTTGATTTCAGAACTAAAGTCTCCAAAACATTACATGATCCACAACTACGTAAAACGAACAGTAGGTAACCGCATCCTGTAGCAATCTATTCACGAGCAGTCGAATAATCGAGCTAGACCTCCAGGTCGGCCAAAATTCCGCTTTCATACACCCTTCAGATAAGTGTAAAAAACTGCCATCTGCACAGTTTTGGAGAATTCTGAGGTACAGCGAACTTCAGTGCTCGAATATAACCGAGCCATCCAAGATGATCACACAATGTCGTATACAACCATAACCATCTGGAAGTTCTCAAACTACGGGCGCCCATACATGAGTAGAATCGAACCAATCAGTCACTAGCGCACTCACTCTAGACCAAAATGAAGCACACTGAGTTGCCTGAGTAGATTCCTCCTATTTCGGGTTGACATCGCCCGGAGTCAATCTGCTCAGGCTTTAAATGAACACTTGTCTGACGCCTCTGTCATACCATAGGATGGCAATGTCACCAGCAGTCTTACCACTGCTTAGCCACCTGATCAGCCATTCCCACCTAAATGACTGGTTAGTTGATATACCCAAGGCAGCACCGTTAGGGTATTCCCGTGAAACTCAGGAGAAGATCTAGGGCTGTTGCTCATTGGTATGCCGGATTGCTTGGGCCACCCGCAAGCTCTCAACGAGCCCATGTGTACTCTCTTGGGTTACACGGGCAACTGCAGACGTTGCAGCACCGCAATCGCTTCCGCTCACAGTTTTTGGAACAACAAACTCAATTAAATTCGGTTGATTAACAAAAAAAGGTATAAAACAAAACCGCTTCCTCTAGAAGTCGAATGGCGTCGCGCACAATAAAAACTGAGAATCGGGAATTCTAACTCTGAGCCATGTCCCAGCAACTCATACGGCAAGTTTACTTACACAGCCTCGCCGTTCTCCGAAATCGACCAACATTTAGCAGTAATTCAGCTCTTTGGATTAGACTAGAGTGACGCATTATCTTAGTGAAGAATTACTTCAACAAGGTTTTACAAACTGTTGTGAAATTAGGCGAAAATTTGCGCTACTATTGGACCATCTACGGTACTCCTAAGAGAAGATAACACTCAGGAAGTTGAAAATATCCCCTTTTCAGGTTAACCTATCCTCAAGAAATACGGCAGTTCTGCAGGCCGCGTATGATGGCGCTCTATAGCGACCCAGCCCGCCTGTTTTTTTCGAAGTACTTCACTTAATAATTGGAAATTTTCGAGAACAAACAACTCACTCTCCCTATGCCACAACTGTCACCTCAACTGGTAACGGCTAAAGGGGGACCACACGTGCGAGACTCTCTCAGCTGCGTCTGAGGGGTACACCGATCAGCATATTTTTCTACCCGGTTACCGACGCGTCTCCGGACAGAACTCCGTCTTCATTAAATGTTCGCACTTTAAGACATCACACTATCGGTCAGATGGAAGATCTGTACAGACTTAGATTGCCACTTTTTGCACTATCCCATACTACTGAGGCATTTGAAAGTTCCTTGGAAAGAAACCAGTATGACTGGTGAAACAACGGATGGCATACATTGAACCGAGTTTAGAAACATGTTTTGAGCGAATAAAGGGAGGTAGGGGATGTGGCTGGTCAACAACAGCGATCGTCTTAGCCTAGTGATAAAGGGATTTAAGTCGCATACTAAGTAATTCATAAGAGTTGATCACTATCAAGAGAAATTATGCTGGTGTTTCTCAAAGCCAACATACCTCTGGGTCTAAATTGATCGCCTCATTGTTCCCCTATTCAGTTACCCACTGCAAATACGTGTTTAAAGATTTTCACCTGTTTAGCTTCGTTGCTGTCTGTTTCTGTATCTCTGATAACACTGCATCTGCTTATCCGTCTGCATTCTTGCTCGATTTGCTCAACGTGCTCCGGTCCATCCTATCACGACAACTGCTTGGGCGTACTGCAAATCAGAATTATGTGGCCGGTATCGTAAGCAACGATTATGACCCACACCACCAAGCCACCAATTCCTTCGCCGTTATCTGGTGCGGACTTTGGCACTGTGCTCTATCGATCAGGTGGACTTGCGAGCTTGTTAACATCAGGAACTCGGACAAACGAGGTGTGTTGTATACCTTCGCTTATTGCGTTCAAGTGGTACAGTAGACATTTCGACTCAATTCTTCCTCTCCGGTGTTCGGAGTTGCTAAGCCTACGTGTCACTCAAAGTTGTCTATCGTGAGCCCAACACAAACTTTCAGTCGAAAAGTTTATTTCGAAATTCACAAAAGCATCGATAGGTTAGCGAATCACTACTACTAAATCTGAAAACTTAAGGTCAACGCAGAATTTTGTACTCTGGATTTCTGATGTGTATGCATACCTGACGGAAACAAGGTTTGAGTCCACCGACATATATATCATCAGAGGCCACTCTAAATTTGATGTAGCTGCTTTGAAAAATAGGTCACCAAGTTAGGAAAGGGGCTTCCAGAATCACACCTGACTGTAGACACTAGAGTCCTAAGGTGCGATCTGCCGCCTTCTTCGCTTGATCTCTAGGCTTCCTCTCTGAAGATTTTCACAATCAGAGGACATTAATGAAATTCCGTCCGAATTCTGTACTATGACTGT